CTCACCTAGATTCGTCGGTTCTCACCGACATCTCCCCTTCCTCCTCTCGTACCCGTTCCCATTCCCCTCGCCGCCCACCCACCCAGCGAGGTCAGCAGCTGAGCCGACGACGTTGCCGACGTCAAGAGGGTGGCGGAGGTCAGCGAGCCCGGCGTGAACGAAGAGGAAGACGGGAGCGTAGACACAACCACGAGGTCGTTGCTCGAAACCGCCCGCACCGAAACGGGAGCCTGAAAGCTCAGGGACCGATCCGCGCACCGGAGATTTTGGAACGCAACGCGCTGGCATCTGCGTGGGGAGTTTTGGAGCAATGGGGTGGGGGGGGTAAAAGGGTGGTCGGAGCATCGCGAGAATGCATGGTGCCTGGAGTTTCGAGTCGTGGGAAGTGACGATCGCGCTTCCTGTCGTTCCACTCAGTATAGGTCTAGCAGTACCACGAGGCAGTGTATGGCAAAATAGGGATAGCAGCGCTGGAAAATATGCACGCAGTGATATGAGAAGGACAGACGAGGAGGGAGAAGAAAGAAAAAGAAAGGAAGGAGAGAAAGGAAAAGGAGCGAGAGAAAAAATAAAATGATTGGTACAAGAATGTCGCAACCGTTCACGGGGGACCTTCAACCCGTCCTTCACGAAACGCTTTTCCCACATCCATTGTCACGGGTTGGAGTAAACGCACAAAATGCTGTGAGCGTGCATTTGAAGTAAAGACAGTCAAACTATGATTACCTCGCCCACGTGATAGACGACGCCATGGCTCCCCGGCATATCTCGAAGAACGAGGGGTTGAAGTTATAGGTCGTGAGCCACTGCTTCGTGGTCGATACAGAGATAACGCAGAACATGCCGCGTTGGCGCACCTGGTGTGGGCGGGGGCCATTTCAGCAAAAGGGTGTCAGAAGTGCTGGCACGTAAAAGAGATGATCAACATTAAACCCAGTTTTTCCAAATTGTTGTGACCCACCCTCCAAAATCTTGCAGTGCCTCTTCTCTATCTGCCACGGTTGGAATTCGGCTGGCACCCGATCAGGGATGAGCTGCGTTTTAGCTTACATAGAAAAACCAACAACTCTTCGACGACCCATTAAGAGGCCACCACCACAAAGGCAAACATGAACAGCCGCAACAACAACTATAGAAGGATGTGCGGCCAGGGTTGGCAATCATTCCCGCGCAAAACGCTGGGAAGCATGTGAACAATACCACCGACGGTCATCGGTTTCAGCCAACACAAGGAGCTCCAAGCATGGTCCCGGTGTGTTTGTTTCAGCTGCCGAACAAGCACCTGGTTACGAACACTGCCTGCTCTAGCAGTTTCATTTTTACCTTTTGTTGCCAGCAGGATAGTCCCGCCCTTCCACCGCTTCCTTCCCGTCCACCTCCCAACCCCCCACCGCTGGCACCACCGCTGCCACCGGACCCAGACCCTGACCCTGAGCACCCAGATGCGATTCCGAGGAGGGGGCGCTGCCGCTTCAGGTGCGGCGGATCTAGGGCGAACGACGACATCGGGCGGTTGTGCAGAGACCCTCCGCTGCCGACGCCGCCGCCGACGCCGCCGACGGCTCCGGTGCTTGTGGATGGCCCTCCTGCCGCTGCTCGTTCCCTTTCCCCTTCTGCTCCTACCGCTCCCCGTTCTGCACGCGCCCCTCCTGCGCGAATAAACGCGTCTTCGAGGTCCTCCCTATTGGCGAGGTGTCAAAACACAAACCCGCAGGAACGAAAAACAAGTTGGAAGGAAAATTAACCTTCCATGATCGTCGTCATTGGGGTGGGTGGGCTTGGCCGGACGACGTCAAATAATGCGATGGAATCGTTAACGCACTCAGGTTATCACTGAAAGATCGTCGAGACCACAACACTGCCCGCCCAAGTGGAAGTGAAGAAAGATAAGCTAATTTCGCAATAGCGTAAACATGCACAGTTGAAACAAACGAACACACTCGTAGCCTCACAAAATCATGAAATTCGCAACACAGGCTGTCCTCACCTCACGTGGGTCTTCGGCGCACCGTCAAACTCAAGACCGAGAACGATGATGTACTGGCCGGGGTCGTCAGTCGAATTGCTATTGCCGGGCCTGCGTTTCCAAAAAAACGAGCAACAATAGTGCGCGTTTTCAAACAAAGGCGCTACAGAACGCCAGACTTTGTTGCGCCACCGCAGGTGTAGCCACATCAAAGAATCGCGACGAAACGGAGGGTTGGTCAAAGGTCTCGCTTCACATTACCTCCCTGGCGCGAAGCTGCTGAGGATGGCGGTTTTCGGGCGTTCTCCCATCTTGGACAGGTTTATCGCCGTCGTCGATGTGAAAAAGCTAGAATGTTGCTGCGTTTACAAAAGCGAACAGAACACAAACAATAACAAAAAGAGCCGGCATGGGAGGGGGAAACACGGACGGCGGTTGGCCAGGGGACAGCCGTCGCCCAAACGAAAATGCTATTGGCACGCGGTCAGGGGTGGCCTCCCCTGTTCCATCAGACTGGTGTGGGCGTGGCGATTTTTCCCGGCCACAAAGCGCGACCCACCCCCGGCCTATTTTTTCCCAAAGAACAAGCAGATATAGGTCGGCCACAAAGGGGTGGGCGCAGCACGAAAGCGCGGGTGCATTTCGGCGTGATGATGGGCATTGCCCAACGGGTACACTAGGCCTCGCTGCACAGGTATTGTCTAGCCCAAATCACCACGCGAAAGCAATGTTATTACTCACGTGACAGATCGCCTGTGTTAGGTCAGCGGCGAACGTCGGAACGGCCCATCCCGGGATGGACTCGTTGGCCACTATCTGCTGAGTGACGGGGGAGGTGCCTCCGGCAGCTTTGTCCGCCAGGCGCCCCACGATCGTGCACACCTAAAATGGGCGTTCACCCGCCGATCCGTCCGCAACGACGTGACCCCATCCACCCGTATGGCCCATCATGGTTCCGTACATAAGGACAAGTGTGCATCGTAACGACAGGCGCGTAAAAGCAACAAGCAAGAATGTCACAAAAGGGACAACTTCATCAGAGCGATACGGCAATGCTGGGGATGGTGATATAAAATACAAGTACGACACGAAATGGGAGAGCAATCATAGAGAGGGAGGAAGAGAGAGGCAGGGAGAGAGAGAAACATGATCCACACCCTTGGGAATCTTCGCGGGTGATCTGTTTTGTTGGCCTTCGAGGCACGCACATAAGCTTTACCCTGCAAAACTTGTTGACTCGAGGGCAGGTCGGGCCCTACTTTATCAGCAGCGCACACTCCAAACTCTGGGCTACGAACGAACCGTACATCAACAAAGCCTTACCGACTTCACGTCTTTAGGGGTTCGGTGGCGAACAGGCGGCCCTTCGTCCAAAGCGTTCCCTTTCTTCCCTGCCGTCGCCGCCGCAACAGCAGCAGCCTTATGCCCACTGCCCCCGGTAGGCTCGGTGGATTCATTCTTCTTGCTTTCGGCCGCCACGGCGCTTTGAGGCAAGCCGCGGCTCGGCCCCGTTCTGTCTCGGAGAAGGAGTCTCTCCATCATGTACTCTGCCAGGGCCTGAAACGACGTGGTACGTTTTCACGCCGTCGCAATGTACCAAAACAAAACGGAATCGAGCATCAGGGAAAACCTTCAAGCCTACCACCGCACGAGTATGCTTGTGGCGATCGCGGCAGACAGGCTTGCCGACCCGGTGATTTCTCAGACGCAGCCACCTACCTCCCCCGCCATTCCCTGAGTCGCGCGTACCTTCACACCCTACGTAGAAAGCGTTAGGTTGTCCGGGACAAGCTTTTTTTCTTTGTTTCACACGACTCGCCTGCTGTCGAATTTTCATAGGTGCTGACAGCGTGTACGGCAGACACGCGTGCAACACATACCTGTTCGAAGCACACTGTGATGAGGAACATCATGTAGGGCACGTTAATGCCGCCAACCGCGAACACCTCCACTTCCAGCGCCAACCACCGCGGGGTGGCCGCTGTCGCCTCTTTCTTCTCGCCGGCCGCGGCCCTGCCGGCCTCACCGGTCGCCGCTGCCTCCGGCATTGCCTCTATGCCAATATTGTCGGCCGCGTTGTCGGCCACCACCGAAGAAGCCTGCCGGGAGGACGACTCCCCGGCCCCGCTGCCAACATCACGGCCGCTTACCGCCGCCGCAGCCGCTTCTAATCCCGCTCCGTCCGGCGCGGTGTCGACGATCTCCGCGGGAGAGCCCGGCGGCGAAGACAGCGACGACGGCGGAGAGGACGCCCGCACCGACGCCGGCACCGGCGATGATCGCTCCAAGGGTGCCGGTGCCGACGAAGCCGCGGCATCGGCTGCGGCCTTGGCCTTCGCCACCGCGGCGAGGCCGTCCGCCCCGGCCAGGATTTCGATGTCCATGCCGCCGCCGGTCGCGGACGTCCGGGACGCGACCTCGCTGATCGGCGAGGGGCGGAACCCGGTCCGTAGGGACGGCGTGCGCGCTCCCGTCTTGGCGTCGAGCGGCCAAAGCTTAACGAAGGCTAGACCCTCTCCCACCTTTTTCCAGGGGGCGGCGGTGGTGGGAAAAGATACGAAGGTATGTCGCCGAGGCAACCCAGGAGTTTATGAGTATTGGTATACGTGTCGGAGGAACGCTCCTTCCTATGGAGGATACATGGCCCCAATACCTCCCCCAGCAGTGCACAAGACAGCGTGGCAGTGGCAGTATTCAACCGGCACCGTCGAGGGACCCCCATGTCATGAGCTACCTGTCCAGAACGTGCAAAAGCAAAAAGGAAACCTGCGCCCCTACCCCCAGAAACGAAGTCACATGCATAGCCCCGCATCAACACAACTCTCTCGCGGGAAACCCAAGCTGCTGCAAGTGTGCGATATCGGCTAGAAAAGTACGATCACAAACAGTAGCTGAAACCAAAACCATGGCACGGCAGTAACCCACGCACCTTTCGGGCCGCCTCCGCTGTCCGTTTCGCTGCCGGGTCACCCCTGCGAACGCCAGTGGTAGCCTGCCGCGACGAGTACACGAAGTTCAGGTCGTTCGGGTCGACTTCGACGTCCTCGACCAGCCCTTCGTCAGGCCTGGTAGCGCCGGCCATACTTCCACCGGCGCCGTCTTCTCTGCTCCCTTCTCCGCTTCCGCTTCGCTCCAAGTTGGCCTTGTTCCTGTCCTTGCCCTTTATCTCCCCCAATGTCACGCTTCCTTGCTCGCCGGGCGAGGGTCTTCCGGCTTCCTTCACCTTCGCCGCTGCGATGGCCGCCGCCGCCGCTGCAATGGCCGCCGCCGCCGCCGCCTCCGCCGTGACCGCGCGTGCCTCGTCGTGCGGCTTCGCCACCGCGGAAGAACCCGAAGAAGACGAGGAGTACTCGAGCTTGCTGCCGCCCTCCGACAGACCGCCGCGCGCCTTGCGCTCGCTCTTGCCGCTAGAGTCCAGATCGTCAACGGTTCGCATCCTTGCGGCTGGTCCGCCGGCGTCGGCGCCGGCGGCCGTGGTGGCGGCGGCAGCCATTGCACCGACGCCTGCAGAAGCCCTTCTTGCGTCAGTGCTGCTGCCGCTGCCGGCACGATCGTATAAGCCGCCGACGGCGTCGCCACCCGGCGGCCCGTGGCCACTGTCGTTGCCTCCGCTAGGCACGGCTACGCCGCCGGCCAGGGTGATCCCCTCGTGCACAGCCGCCGTGACCACTGCTTCCGCCGCGGCCGACGTCTCTCTACCCTCGGCGGCGGCACCGTCCCAGCTGTCGACGCCTGCACGCCCGCCCCCGACCGAGGCCGAGCCGGACGCGCTGCCGGGGGCCCCCTGGGAGTACGCGCGGGCGAGCGGAGAGCTGCCGGTCGACCGGCGCCGGTGGCCCCGACCCTTGTAACTGACGTCGAGGCGTGGCGGTGGTGGTATCAGCTGGGATTGCTGCCGAGGCTTTTCCAGCTGAGGCGACTGGGGCGGTTGGCTCTCGTTCGTGGCGGAGTGCAGGATCTTCATGAGTCCGTCCGCGCACAGGACTGACCGGAGGTACTGGAGCAACAGGAACGTGTCGAGGACGCCGCCAGCGGGCAGGGAGAACCACGCCCGACCGTGTCCCGGAAGGGAAGCGGGTGCAGCGCCTTCCTTGCCCCCCCTGTCCTCCTTGTGAACCTTGGTGGTGGCGGCCGTGAAGCTTCCCTTGCTGCTGCTGTCAGAGTGCGACTTTTCCTGTCGTGTTTGCTCGTCTGCTGCTCGAGCCACGAATTCTTCACCGCCGCTGCCACTGCCACGGGAAGTAGCTTGTTGTACGCGCCCAGTAACTCCTCCTCTAGAGACGCCGCCGCTATCCCTGGCCAGATCGGCATTAGGGCCGGTACGCACAAACTCCCAGTCTGCAGCTGTCACCTATAGAGGCACGACCAGAGAAACAAAAAGACGGGCGCCCGTGAAACGTGTCTGTGCGAACAACTTTTGTGTAGGTTTCCTCGAATTCTTGTCCACTTCCAGACAGAAGTGACTTATCAGCACGTTTCATCCCGTAAGCAAAAGCAACGACCTGCTTCGAAACAACATGACGGCGTGCTCGTTCCAAGACGCGTTGTAACTTGACCTCTTGGCTTTTCTTATCCACCCCGCAGGACCTGCAATCCCTCCCCGACGTTTTGCCATTGAGGGTATATACAACGCGCACGCTTAACGATGCCTAGCGGCAACGCGCGATATCATCCGCAGCAAACGCACGTTCAAGTGGTCGTTCATGCCGAGCTGCGACGAGAGAGCCTCCCATCCTTGTTTCGCTAGCTTGAATTCGATCTTGTCGTTTAGTCTCCGCTTCAGTTCCGTGCTCAGGTCCTGCAAAGACGTGAAACGCCGCGGGGGACGGGACGACACGTTCGTGGTGGCGCAAACGAAAAACGAAGACAAAAAAAATAATATTTCGAATATGATGTACCGACAACATGGCATCTGTGTCCGCCGAGCAAAAGCATCGGCTGTGCAGATAGGCTTGCCCGATTCGACTGTTCCGTGAAGGCCGTCGGTGGAGAGAGGGTCCGCGGTACTGCTGCGCGAGGAACACCTTGTTCGCGAAGCTGTTCCACCCGACCCTGTGCGAATCTAGCATTGCCGCGCTGTGGCAGGTGTCCCGGAGCGTGTTCAACCCGCTTAGCCTAGCGTCACTTTGGGGACATTCGGGATCGCTGTGCAGGACACCGTGTACTCATACCAAATGGCCAACCTCACCTCGATTCCGTAGACTTTGAGCTCGATAACCGGTTGAGATGATGCCTCCTGCCTGGACCCGCGTGATGCCGCATCCCTTCTGGGCGACTGTGCGCGGAACGCCAAGCCAAAAACAGACAACAAGGCAACGCGATCAAAACTGCTACCCGTGATGGGCGGCCTCTCGTTGCATGAAACGCTTCTAAGTTGATCATTAATGACAGTTTCGTGTGTCGGGACGCCAGCCGGAGCGAAAATGAACGCAATATGGGGTGCACACAGCGGAACGCTTCCTGCAACAAAATAAAATACAAATAGAGCAAGGCATGCAAGCAACTCTGGTGCTTCGGATTCTACGGTATTCATTTTGACGCCTTGCCTTATCTTCACAACCAGGAACGTGTTGTCGCAAAGCTTCCAGTGTAGGGAACGATCTATCAACACCCACCTCTATGGCAGCACAAACCGCGTTCGACAACATTCTCTCCTCGAAGAGAGGTCGGGAATGAAAGAAAACACGGTTCATGCCACGTGGGGTGGGAGGGGGAGCGGGATCACATCGTCACGACAAGAGCTCGCGATTGCGTAGCATATCATACCTCTGACAGAGTCATGTAGAAGTTCCCCAGCTGGTCCGGGCACACGTACAGGTCACTCCTCCCGTGGACTCGCAAGCCATCCAGCGCAGTGGTGGCGAGGGTGACGAGCACCATCTGCGCCTGCAGCCGGTGGTACAGCGGGAACCGCCTGGAATACTTGCACTCGCACTGGAGCTCTCCTTCTCGGAACGCCTGGCCGAGCTCCCGCTGGGGAAGAACAAGCCCGCCCTCCTCCTGCTGCTGCTGTTGCTGTTCGCCACCGCCCCCATGGGTGGAATTTGTTGCCCGGCCGTCCACAACTCTCCCGCTCTCACCGCCGCCGCCGTCCAACACCAGTTGAGTAGGCGAAGAACAAGGACTGCCGCTCCCCTTGTTGGCGGCGTCTAGGCTATTCTCGCGACGGAAAACCCCACGAACGACACTCCGTGTGTCAACCGTCAGGGAGCACCCCGCCCAAGTCGAGGCCTTGCTCAGGAGACCCTCTCCGCCTGGCCCGATACCGTCGACCCTCGGAGACAGTTTTTTCCGGTCGGAACTCCCGCCGGTGCCAGCAGCAGACTCTGGCGCGACGAACGCCGACGAAGTGCCCACGGCCCCATCGCGGGCAACGACGCCGGCGTCCTTTGCCGCCGACGCAACCGGCGATGCCGTCCCGGCGGGTGGCGGCGATTGCATGAGGAGTCCTCCTCTTTCCCCAACGCCCTTGTCGTCGATGCTGCGGGAGCCGCCGCCAACACCACCGAGGGGAGCGCCCGCGCCGCCCGTCAAGGCGTTGGCCTTCGGCCGGCGAGCGCGTGGGTTGCTGTACGTCACGCCTCCGACCCGGAGAACCTCGGGCATGTCCGGTGCCGTGGTCGTCGTGGCAGGGGGGCGGGGCGGAGGGATGAGGACCTCGCACGCGACCCTCGTCTGGATCAGACTCTCAAGGAGCATGAGCTGGTTAACTCTCCGCGCCGCCAAGTGCAAACCCTTGCGTTGTTGAACAAGGTGACCCATGGGAGGGGGACGGAGGAGGTAAAAACAAGACGATGTAGGGATTTGAACACGAGGCGCAACCCGAACCGTGGCATGAGTGTGGGAGGGGTGGTCAGGGAGCTTCAACCACCGAGATAGATGGCAAACGAGACACTGCGAAAATCACCACGATACATGTTAGGTCAAGGGCAACAAAAGCACCAACACCGACCACACCACACGTGAGTACCGAAGCCCCGGACTTGTGCGGGCGTCTTTTAGGCTGGCTCCTCTCCCCGAACCTGTAGCAAACGCCGCACATAGGTGCGCACAACCAGATCTAGGCGAAGTGACACGTTTCGGTTGGGTTCACATGACAGCACACGTGGGCGTAGCATTGTACAGTAGTTACAACCTCTTCAAAGCCTGTACGAGAGGCGGGTGAGGTACACTTTTGTTTATCCCACAGGCCCTCACCCTCTTGATTCCGTCGATCACCGTGCCCTTGTTCGCCGAGACCGTGCTCCCCCGCGGGTGGTGGACCGAAACCTTTACGTTTATCACGATCAAGCGATACCCGACCGATTCGGGCGCGCTCCCGAACCGATGCACCTGAGACGCCGGCATCGGTTCCGACGGCTTGGAAAAGGCGTGCGCCGTCTTCCCCAGTTGCCGCGTCCGTGCGCGGCTGGCACCGTACAACGGCCACGGCTCGGGTTCTTCGCCGGGATCGTTCGTCAGCTCCCCTACCCTCACGATTCCCCAGTACGGGACCGAATAGTCATCATTTGCCTCTGCCGGATGGCGAGAAGAGTCTCCGCCGTTGTGAGCGTTATCGTCCACGCCAACATCTGTCCTGGTGGCCCCGTTCCTCCTCCCGTCTGCACTCGCGTCAATGCGCGGCGGCGGCGGCGGCGATGACACACCATCACCTGCTTGGCAACCATGCAACGGCGGCGCCGCCCCCTCGTCACCCGCCCGTACCCGTTCCTCCACGACAAACAAGAGTCCTTTCGCCGCCTCGATGTCTTGGCGGAGGGAATCTGACACGGCCTTGGTAGGGGCCTCCTGCCCACCCTCACCGTCGTCGTCGTCGTCTTCCTCGTCCTCCTCCTTGGCGCGGCGGAAGCATGGCGCCTTTCCCCTGAGGAGCTCTTGGTCCAGGAGCTCCCTCGCGTTGGCGATGGAGCGCAGCCCCCGTGGGCCGATGTTGGCGGAATGCGGTTCGGTCGAGATGTCCACCATGAACTCTAGGGGAACCTGTTCCGCGGTTCGCACGGACGGCGGTTAGCGACGATGGGGGGGGGGGGGGGGGGGGGGGGGGTGTCGTTTTTTTC